ATCTTCCAGATGAATTTGTATTCTAAATTGATGTTGCGCTAGGTGCCATGTATCTGCTTTGCAAGGAGAACAAATGAATCCTGACTGAGACATAATCTAGGCTTTTTTGGCCTTCTTGTGGCAATTAATAGACAGCTCTTAAACTTCCTTAGGAAATGGTAATAATCTGTGTTAACATCTGTGATTTTATCCATTTGCCATCTTTATGTGTCAACAAATTGTTTCAGTAGGTCAGGTCAGAATTATTTCAATTGCATGCCATCTCTTCTTATTTTTATTCTTTTTTTTCTAGTTTGATATTTATTTTTGCTCTGTGCTTTAACAAGTTGTTGATCTGATTGTACATAGATGGCTGATTCAGGATCCACATCAATAACTATTCATTTCTTGTTTGTTAAAATGTCAATTTCCTTTTTATGCTTTTTGGTACTTTCCATGTCAAGTACCTCTTGACTATCTTCACAAAGAAAGTATTTGCAATATATGTGTAGGGATTATGTATAGTTTACAAGCCATTGGCTTTTCTTGTTTCTAACTCAAACTGTGTTTTCCCACATATTTTTATTATATTTCATATATATAGATATGGAAATTTAAAATACATACCAAGTAAAAGCAACATAATTTCATGCAGAGAGGGCTCTAGCAATTCATTAGTTACTGGAAAAGGATCTAACAGTTAATATGTTTGTAGATGGTCTAAAAACTGGAGATGACAAAGGTCCAGGAATCCATCTCAAAATGGAACAGGGAACAGGCTCAAAGAGTCTCCTATGTGTGGAATTGGTCAGAAAGTAGAAAAATCAGAGAATATGTCCAGAAAATAGATAGAAAACCACAGATATGTCCCCAAATAAACATATCACAGAATATGTCCAGAGAGTGGAAAGATGAACAGGGCTCAGTGGACAAGTCAGAGAATGTTTCCACTGAATAGACTGAAAATCAGGGCTTTGTTCCTAGGTAAATGTGTTAGAAAATTATTCTGATAGTAGAACAAGGGCAAGGGACCTGAACCACCCCATTTGGACATTTCAGAAAATGTATCCAGAGAATAGACAGAGTATTGGAGATCAATCCCAAACAGCCACGGTCATGGAATGTGTACAAAGAGAACTAAAATAGACAGGTCAAGGGAAATATCCAGAGAATGATTAATGGGCTGGGGACTCACCCTAATCTGTATGTAAGAGAAAAAATAATTTCAAGATAGTTGAGAGAAGCCCAAGGATATATCTTGTAATGTATTCATCAAGAAATGTGTCACAGAATAGCAAGAGGGCCAGTGATCTGTCCCTAGGTAGGCAGGTAAGAAAATATGTCTAGACATTAGAAACAGAGACAGGAATCTGTCCCACTGGGGACTGATAACTGAATATGTCCTGTGAGTAGACAGGGCCAGAGATTTTTCTCCAGATGGACACATCAGGAAAGAGATAGATTAAATAGACTAGAACCTATTCCAAAATGGACCAGTCACTGAAAGCATCCTACAAGTAGAGATAGCTCAATTAACGCGTCCAAAAATATGACAAGTCAGAGATTTGTCCCCATGTCAATAGGTCAGAAAATGTGTTCAGACAGCAACTAGAAACCTAGGGCTCTGCCCAGGAGAAAAGGTCAGAAAATGTGTCTAGAGAGTCATCAGTGGGCTAGGGACCTATCACAAAGTAAATAGATTAGCAAATAAATCAGAGAGTAGATACTATCCTAAGGCAGACTTATTGGGGACTGTGTCTGGATCCATCTCTAAGTGGGCAGGTCAAGAAATGTATCTAGAGAGTAGACATAGCACCAGAGATTGATTCCAAGGAACACAAGTCAGAGAATGTGTTTGGGGAAGAAGGAAGGATTTATTAAGCACCTACTGTATTCCAGGCACTGTGCTAAGCATTTTACAATTATTATCTAATTTGATCCTCACAACAACCTTGGGAGGTAGGTGCTATTTTTTTTTTGCATTTTAGAGTTAAGAAAACGGAAGTAAACAGAGATGAAATGACTTGCCCAGGGTCACACAGCTCTTAAGAGTCTGAGGCTAGATTTGAACTCAGGTCTTCCTGATTCCAGGCCCAGTGCTTTACTGTGCCACCTAGCTGCCTCTGTAGTAGTAGGCAGAGGGACGGGGATACACATTACTCTTCTTCACACATTCAATAGTACAATCAAACTGGCCTTCTTGTTGGGAAAGGGAAGAGAAAGAGCACCCACACAAAATAGTTTTAAGGCTCTTCCTGAAGAGAAGAGAGTTGAATGCTCTGAGGAGGAAGAAGCTGCTTGTCCTTCCAAGAATGTTGTGGTAGAGCCACGGGAGCTATCAGAGGGAGAGATCATGGTCCGGCATGGGGCAGAGGAAGAAGAGAAGAAGAGGAAGAGTTGGTGACCCCTGCTCAGGAGGACGGAGGCAGCTATTTGTCAGCTGACTCATTAACAACAACAGAGGGCTCTGTTGTCTTCCTGGGGCATGGATTCAAGACATAAGAGAACTTCTCATGACTTATAAAAATCAATGACAATTACCTATTTCTGATGTTTCCAATGGGTATAAATGACACTTCAAAGAAGAATTTTAAAAGTATTTTGAAGTCCTGGGTAGGAAACTGAATACCAAGGGTGCACATGTTGTATTCCTCATTGTTGCCCATTGAAGGAAAGAGCTACATAAGAGAAAAAATGATGTGGAAAGTGAACAGTTGGCTAACTATGAAAGTTGTATCCTAGAATAGGATTTGGACTTCTGGATTACAACTTACAATAGAGGACTGAGAGATGCCTGCCCAGAGACAGAGAACACCTAACAAAGGCTAATAAGAATGTAATTGCCAAGCATACTGCAGATCTAATCAAAGGGGTTTTGAATTAATAATAATGAAGGAGGGAAAAGATTAGATACAAAGAAGGAAGAATAGTATCTAGGATATCCAGAAATTCACAGGAGACAAAATTCAATAAAATAAAACCTACAGCCTCAAGTGTATATACAAAAAAACTCTAAGTTTAGGTAATAAACAAGAAGTCAAGGCCCTAATGCAAGGGGACAAATTTGACCTCAAAGATATCAGTAACTCTTGGTGGAATAAAATCCATGGTTGGACTATGGCCCTAGATGGGGATGCTTTATTTAAAAAAAAAACTGGAGAGGCAAAAGAGGAGGTGGGGCGAGTGGTTTAGTATTGTATATCAAGAAGATTTCCTCTTGGGAGGAAATCCAGAAACCAGAATGGGGAAACATGATGGACAGTGTTTGGGTGAAGGTCAATGGGGGGAGAAATGGAAGAGATTTTTTCACTGGAGTATACTACAGACTATCTAGACAGAGAGGAGAGATAAATGAAGAGTTTGGGAAATAGATCAGAAGCCCGGAACAAAGGCATGATATAATAGATGGGGAACTACAGTTATCTGCTCGAGTTCTCTCTCTTTCTCTTCCAAAAGCAGAGCAGCTAATAATAACTTCCTGAGTTGCCCTAGTGATGACTGGGAAATTAGCAATGGGAGAATACAAGAAAAAGCCTTCCTAAGTATAGGTCAGCATAACCTGAGGTCTAGTAGTATTAGTTTTGGTGTTCAGTAAGGAAAGAAAACCAGTTTGAGTGGAATGCATATATAAGGGTTTGGTTTTGAACTTCAAATTTGGCTAGTAAAGGCACCTGAATAGTTTACTCAATCAGTCAACAGGCATTTATTAAGCACTTATTATGTGTCAGGCACTGTGCTAAGTGCTGGGAATACAAAGAAAGACCACCTAAAAGGTCAAACGACAACAACAACAACAAAACAACAGTCAAGGAGCTTACATTTTAATTGGGGAGATAATGTAAATAACTACGTACATGGAAGCTGTACACAGAGTAGGTGAAGCTTTTCATAAAGGGGAGGCTGTTAATAGCTAGGGGGATTCAGAACAGCTGTACATAATTTGAAAGAGTGGTGAAATTAAAGAATCATAATCATGTCCCAAATAGAAAGAAGGCAAGATGACACCCAAACCAAATCAGATGTGTGGATAAGTGAAAAGGGACAGTGTCTTTGGTAGTGGGGCTATTTGAAATCTAAGAGTCTAAGGTTCCCAATTTTCGATACAATCGCAAGAAGGACAGTTAGACAGTATCAGTTTAAATGGAAACCAGTGAAAGGACCTTACTTAAGTGCCAGTTACAGAGTTGATCAGCAAAAGAAGCAATTAAAAGTGATAAGAAAAAAGAAAAGCAGCCCAGTTGTCAGAAATGGTAACAAAGGTTTAAGAAAGCTTTTAAAGCAGAGGATCCTAGCCTTTCTCTGTGTCTTGGACCACCTGGTCAGTCTGGTGAAGTCTATGGATCCCCTTCTCAGAATCATGTTTGTAAATGTATAAACTAACATACATCAGATTGCAAATGAAAACAATTATATTGAAATATTATTATTAAAATGCCATGAATTATCAGTATTATTAAAATATATATTTAAAAATTAGCTCATGGACTCTAGGTTAAGAATTCCTATTTTGGACCTTGTTGGAGTTGGAAAATGGAGGGAAACAAACCCTAGAGATTGAGACCACTGGAAGAACAAAGCTATGAATTTTGCCCAGAGAAATGCCTATTAGAAATGTGGGACACCTTGGTCACAAGAAGAGAGGCAAATTTAGTCAATGTTAAGGGCCCACACTGAGCTCAGAATGACCTCACCTAGAATTAGTGAGTCAAAAGAACATTGGAAATATAGGGGAAGTTGGAAAAGAAAAGTCATTAAACCAGTGAAATATGGTATAGGACATTTTGTACTTGCTAGAAAATTTCAGAGCCTGGTCATGTTCAGATGAAAAAATGGGTATGTGCTAGCAACAGGAAATTATATATAAAATGTACTAAACAGGGAAGAAAAATGTCTCTGAAGAGACATCTTTCCTAGAGAACTGAGGAGACTACTAATGATTTTCATGCTTAATTTTACAGATGCTGGAATACTGATGTCAACGTGGAAAAAGCTGCTGGAATCGACTTATTGGAACACCAGGTACTGAGAACATTTGTTGAAAGGACTTACTATTCTCCCTCTGGAAAATTCTTATCATGGAAGCTTTTATGGTATGGTGTTAAATCTGTATTTATATATGTATGTTCAAATGCATAGGTGTATGTATCTACTACTTTTAAAATATGTTTATACTGACATAATAAGGGGTCATTTGGTTTGGGGAAGTACTGTCTATTTCTCTAGTAGCTGCAAAGTACAGCAGAACTTGGGAAGTTAGAAATCATATCAAACTTCTAACTGTATATATGAGGGAGTGAATAATTGCTGACAATTTCAATGAAAAAAAGTCTTTGTCAAACTTTAACGGTCTAGATTGAAGGAAAAAAAAGAAAAAGAATGAGTCACAGTATCCAAAGCAAGGCTAAAACTCCACTGTCCTTTATCATAATCAAACCACAGCTACAGAACTATGTTCATTTCTGGGGTCCATGATTTAGGAAGAACATTGACAAGCCAGAGAGTGACCAGATGAGGACAAGCAGGATGCTGAAGGACCTCAAAATTCATCTCATATGAGCATTGGTTAAAGGAATTGGGGATATTTAGTTTGGAGAAGAGAGGAATTAGGAGAATATTATAGTGTGTTTGAAGGGCCATTACATGGAAGACAGTTAGATTTGTTCTATTTGACCCCACAAGACAGAACCAGGAGTAAAATGGGAAATTTAGTCTTGACTGAAGGTAAAACTTCTGAACAATTTGAGCCACTCAATAAGTGAGATGGGCTGACTTGGGAGTTAGTGGGTCACCCTTACTGAAAGTCTTCAAAGTCTTCATGAACTTTTGTTAGATATGTTGTAAAGGGCATTCTCGGGCAGGTATGAGCTGGAATAGATGGTCTCTGAGATCTGTTCCTTCTCTGAGATTCTGATTCTGTAAATGCCCATATATTTGAATGGTGGCCCTTTGAGTATGGCAATTAGAGGACTGAATTTTGAATTGAGTGAAGATTTTCTCTCTACACAGAGGAACAAGGGACATGTGAACTCTGCTTTCAGATGCGAGGATGATAATTATCTTACAGTTTATTAAGAGCTCATTTAACCCTAAGTTCATTCAAATGTTCTAACAACTTGCTGGGAAGAGTGACCGTGTATGCTGTGTCATCCTTGAGGACACCAATATTAAAATAGAACACAGAGTACCTCTTAAAAACAATGCAGATCACAAGAACTGGTGATATCTGAAACTGAATGGAAATGTAAAATTGGAGTAGTTATACAGTGGGTAGAAGAAAGTGTTGGCACTAACAAAAAATGGCACTAACAGAAAAAAAAGTGTTGGCCATCGTTATTTATCCAGAACTATTATGAATTTCATGATTTGTGTCTTAGAAATCTAAATTCAGGATGGATAATACATGAACTTTGGGGAAACTTATATGAGATGAATTCCTGGGTATACTTACAAGATTTAATAGTTTCAGTTTATTTGGGTCTCTTTCTGTCTACTCTATATTGGTGTATATATTATTGTTTTAATTTTCCTTATTATTCATTTGTTCTATATTTATAGATTTGAATTAGCTTCAAGTTAATTGGGTACTTGCTAGTAATGATGTAGAAAAGAAAATTGTTCACCAACTACATAACAGTTTAGATGTACAGTTTGATTTATCTAGCTTAAACCAAATGACTACAAATGATGGAATATGCATGTAGGGTGGGACTAGAGACTGGGTAGAGAGTCAGCAATCTGTCCATAAGAGGACAAGTTGGAACATGTAGATAGTAGGCAGAAGACTAGACATCCATCCCAAAATGGATGGGAAAAAGAATGTCTAGGGATGGACAGGTACAATGAAGGGAATGTGTCCTGGTAGTCAAAAGAGGATCAATAACCTGTCCCTAGGAAGACAGATAAGGAAATATGTCCAGGCAGTGGCTGAGGTTTGAGTATCTATTCGAAGTTGGAGTGGTTGGAGATTATGCTCAGAGAATAGAGAGAGATCCTTGGAGATTGTGCCCAGAGAATAGAGAGATCCAGGGAACTGTCTATTTGGATAGGCTAGGGAATGGGTCCAAAGAGTAGAGACACATCTGGGTATCTATACCAAAGTAGGCATGTAAGGAAACCTAACCAATGAGTAAACAGAGGTTGAAGGGTCTGATCCAAAGAAAAAAGGTGAAGGAGTATGTCCAGAGAGAATATAGAGAATATCTGAAAACGTTTACCGGTGAGACAGATCAAGGAACATATGGAGAGATTAGACAGAGATAACATTGTAATCCAAATAAAACAGGTCAGAGAATGGGCCTACAGACTAGACAGAGGGCCTGACACTTCTCTCAGAGATGATAGTTATGGAAATGTGTACAAGACCAGATAGGTCAGGGAGCCTGGCAGGGCACAGAATAGATCCGTATTGTGGACAGTGAGTCAGAGATCTCTCTTCAAGTGAACGGGTCAAAAAGTATGGCTGTTGAGTAGAAAGAGCCCCAGAGAACTATCCCAAGTTGGAAAGGCTAGAGATTTCATCCAGAAAACAGACATAGGGCCAGTGATATTTGCTCTAAAGGACAGATAACAGTATACAGAGTAGATGGAAGCCCAGGGACCCTTCTTAAAAAGGATAGGTGAAGCATAGGTGAAGCATCATATAATGGATCCAGAGCTTACATAAGGGTCTAGGAATCTATCCCAAAGGGGTTAGCGGGTGTTTCCAATGAATACAAAGAGGACAAGGAAGATGGCTAAGAAAATGTGTCTGGGGAGTAGACAAATATTTAGGGAATGATCTAAACATGAAAAAATCAAGCATTCAGTTCAGAGTAGATAGTAAAAAGTTCAGAGTAGAGTAGAGAGACAGTCAGAAATTGAACAGGTCAGAGAATAGATCCAAAGGATAGCTAGAGGTTTAGGCTTGTATTTCAAAGTGGTCATCAGGCATGTTGTCCCAAAAGTTTGCCAGAGGGGATCCACTCAACGTGCTAGAAGCCTTCCTCATCTTATTCTGATCTCAAAATGGTACCAATGGAGCACTTTGGCTGTCCACCACTCTGAAATGGTGAAGGAATGAATCTAGAAAGTAGACACAGGGTTAAGCATTTATTCCAAAGTGGATAGGTCAGTGAATGTGTCCAGAGAGTAGACAAAAGGCCAGCAACCTATGCCAAAGGGTCATATCATTAAATGTGTCCAAAGAGTAGAAGGAAGATTTGGGATTTGTCCCCAGTTGAACAGGTCAACAGCTGCATCCGGAAAATATACAGAAGTCTATAAATTGATCCTGAGAAGAAAGGAAAAGGATGAAAGAGAGGAAGGGAGGGAGGGAGAGAGGGAAGAAAGAGAGAAAGGAAAAGGAATAAAGAGAGGAAGGGAGGGAGAGAGAGAAGAGAGAGAGAGAGAAGAAGAAGGAAGAGGAGGAGGAGGAGGAGTATCAGGGACCTATGTGGATAGACCAGAGAATGGATCCAAAGGGTAAAGACAGGTCCAAGCATATGTTCCAAAATGGACATATCAAGAAATGTGTCCAGAGAACAGACAGAAAGCCAATAATCTGGCCAATATAATTATAGGGTTATAGATCTAGAAAAAGAAGAAAGCTCAGAGGTAGAATAGTTTAGTCCCCTCATTTTACAGAAGAGGAAACTGAAGCCCAGGGAAGCAAAATGATTTGCTCATGGTCACAGAGGTACCAAGTCTTAGAGTCAGAATTTGACTATGGATTCTAAATACAAACTCATCTTTCTTTCCACTACACTGCACTGCTTCTCAATACTGTTTAGAGGGTAAGTAAATCAACCACATCTCACCACTTTCTAACCAGTATGGGGACTCTGAACCAGTCAGCCTCCAGCCCCTGCCTCAATGATGAGCCAGGACCAGGGACTTGCCATGTCCCCTGCCACCATCCCACCCCTGTGACAACAGGCCATTGGACCAGGATGGATGACTCTCCAGATTTCTTGCCTGGCTACTCAGGTGGAGATAATGAAATCAACATGGGAGCTGATCTTGAGAGTAGAACTGCCCTGACTGATATTTGGAAGGTGAGTAAATCAACTATGTCACCCCATTCTGTAAGCATATCCATCCAGCCTATAAACCCTGACTATGGCTTCCATACCACCTAGACACCAGACTAAGGCTGCGGGCTTTCCGTCTGCACTATTCTCCTCTCTTGGTGACCATCCCTCTGCATCAGTTCATATCAGACTTCCCATGCTTCTCTACGTCCTTCAAACCATTCTTCCTGATATCACAGGAATCAAGTACTTCATATATTACACTATGTTGAGCCACTTTTCATTTGATATGTCTCTCCCCTTCTTGTGGATACCAGGTCTTTAGGCTAAAACTAGATATCTTCCAGAATTCATGTCCCCTAAGTCATATCATGGAGATCATGAAATCCCCATTGTCAATGGCCATGAGGCAGGGCTGCCTTGTATTGGGCTGGGAAGGAATTTACAAGGAAGCCTTAATTCTTTAGAACTAGCCAAACCCAGAGCCAGCCAATTTCTAGCATCCACATGTCTCCAATAGCACAGGACTGGGGACTTATATTTTCTACTGCTAACTTTGTTTCTGTATATCACAGAATGAAATAATAAATACAGAAATGGCTCTTCAAAAACCTCACCTACACATAAACTTTGTCTGACAACTTAGATAGTATTCCCTACCCAAAGTCCTGGTTCTTGATGTGATACCCAAGAGAAGTGGGTGCATTTTCTCAATCCTCCACCAGGACCGAGATGCTTGGGGTCATCGTAACTGCAATGCATGCACTTTCACTTTTTGGTGTGTTTCCTTGATATTTTTGGACTCATGGTGTACAATGCTTTCTTCTCTTGCTGACTATCCCTCTGCATCTGTTTATATCAGACTTCCATGCCTCCCTCCATCCTTCCAAGCATCCTTTCTTATATTGCAGGAATCATGGGCTTCATTCACCTACCACAGTATGTTGAGTCACTCCCTAGTCGACGTGCCTCTCCCTTGCTTCTGGACACCAGACCCTTCAAATAAAACTGGATTCAGTCCAGAGTCAATGTCCCATGAGCACCCACATGGAAATCATTTATTCCCTATGGAAATGGCCATAAGGCAGTGCTGCCCTGACTGAAGCTGGGAAGGGGATTTCATCAAGGAAGCTTCACCTCTCTAGAACTATCTAAACTCTGACCCAGGTGGTTTCCAGTATGCTTATTTTGTGAACAAGATATGACTGAGAACTTGTCATTTCCCCTTATGTTAACCCTGCTTCTTTATACCAGAATGTCAGACATTTATATTATCTTTCATTTGATATAACCTTCATTTCCAAAGATATCCATCCCTACCCCACAACAAGAGAGTGAACCCTTGTATTAAAGAAATACAAAACACAACCACACACAAACTGGGTCTGACAGTGGGGGATTCAAACCCCAAAGGCTGCTCTATGACCAAAAGAACAGGCACATTTTCTCAAATCTCTTCCAGCATCAACATCCTTAGTCATCACAATTGCAGTGCATGTACTTTCAGTTTTTGGTATTTTCCTCTCCAGGTTGCACTCCTAACCTTCCAGATTTTCTCTATCATGCCATAGCACCCTTATCACCCTAGAAGTTCACTCCATGCCAGAGCTCCTCACACTGGAAGTAGATCCCACTGCTGGGATCTTCCTCTGATTGGTTGCTTCCTGCCAGAACCACCATTTTCAGTAAAGTGACCACGCCAGTCCTGTCTTCATTCCTCCCTGAGCTCCACTCCTGACTCTCTAGATTTTCTCCATCATTCCACAGCAGCTTCGTCACCCTGGACGTTCAGTCTGCCTGACCTTGAACTGGAAGTAGATCCCACTGCTGGGCTTTTCCTCTGATTGGATGGTTCCTGCCATAGCCTCCATTTTCAGGAAAGTGCCAAGGCCAGCCATGTCTTCATTCCTCCCTGAGCTCCACTCCTGACTTTCTAGACTACTCTGTCATGCCATGGCAGCCTCACCACCCTGGACATTCAGTCTGCCTGACCTTGAACTGA